TGTTAATGGTTTTGCAGTTATGGCCCAAAACACAACTGTTTTGGTTCATTCTCCCCGCTCTCATCAGTGTCATTTTTGGGCGCAGCAGGCAGCTTTAAACCCACTGTATACTTCTCAGCATCGAACGGCAGACAAAGTTAGCAACTAACTGGTGCACGTACTGCAGCATTTATTAACTAAAGAGCCAGACATTTTTCCCAGGAATCCCTGCTGACCAAAATATAACATGACATGGTGATAAAAAGGTGATGTGTGACATGTTTGTTAACATGTTCGCCAGCTTAAATTTATAAAGAGATGAGGTGTCAGTGTTACAGCTTGTTATGGCCAAATCAATTATTACGTTCAAAATTTTCAGAGAAGAGTTTTAACGATCTTGGAATGCAATCCAGATAATAAATGGACGGAAAAGCATTAAGGAAAAAAAGCAATCTCACCTGCCGAGCACAGAGAAAATGAAGAAACAGCTGTTAATAACAAAACTATTATGTGATATGTAATTGCAGAGGCATGTAAAAATGTATTCTACATATTTATGGTCGGTGATTTACAAATAGAGGGCAATGTACGCAGGATATACATTTTAACTATTAAATATTTAAATGTAAGCAACACACTTACTGTAAATCATTGCAAATATACAGTTAGTATTATCCATGTCCAAAGGACAGGCACTAAATGCTTACAGTTTATATGTATTTTAGTACATTCTGCACTCTGATTATGTGCTGCACACAGATCCAACACTAGAAAAAGAGGCAATATTTGCATAACCCTGAACATTTTACATACCTACTGTATCACGTACAAATGGGAAAACACATAGCATAAACAGATGCTAGATTTCTACATACAGTACCTAACTTGGATTATTTTGTCAGGGCTAGAAAGCGTGAAGAAATGCCAGTCAAGTTAGCATAAACCTGCACAAAATAGAAAGCAGTAGCATTATTTTATTTATTTTTTTTTTTTTGTCTGACTTATGCAACCAGACAGTGATTCTGGCACTGAGCATCAACAGCCCATTTGCTAACATCGTTGGTGCCAACCCAACCTCCACTGTTTGTCTGGTACCCTGTGCTATTTTAGGCCTCTTACATCATTGTGAATTGTGAATATGCATTCAGCCCAGTGAGCTAAATTGTTACAGGATACACTGCACATTGCTCGTGACTAGCTGAAATTGGCAGGAATATCAACTACACTAAAAGTTTACATTACAGGGTGGAGGAAACACACTTGTGACATACAGAAAGACAAACACTGACATACCATCCAGGACACACAGACACAGACAGACCAAGAGGAAGATAACGACACTGACTTGAAACATAGGGACAGAGTACAGGGTACAGGAATCCTGCCATACAACAGAATACAGTGCACTAAAGGACATCCTGTCCAAGTACAGTAAATCCAACAAAATCTGGCCACCCAGTGATCAAATAAGTGTTCCCACACTAGACTGACTGAACACAGTGTCCAAGTAAGTACATAACACTACTAAAAACAGACTGTCAAGAACTTAGACTGAGAAAATAATAGATATACTGGCTTACTGTCATCACAAGCTCCTAATATTTTCTGAAGTGAAGGGAAGATGTATGCAGTTTCAGGATTTGTCACAACCCAAGTCATGTTTGTATGATCCACAATAACAGCTTACATCCTAAGTTTGGCGTGCACATATCAGAACTCCTTTGGAATGTATGAGCAATTTTTTAACATTGTACTATATTTTTATTCAATTCAGTCACTGAACATATTGCACGGATATTTCAGATTTTCCCCTTTAAAAGTGCACAGCTGAAAGAGAAGCCGGAGAGAGGAGGGCTAAGAGTGGAGCAACAGGACAGCAGAGGGAAGGGAGGTACTGTAACTGGGAATCATATGGCCATGTCAAACAGCTTGCCCACTGATTCCTGAAAGCCGTGCACTGTGTACACACACCTCCCGCATAGAGACCAAGGAGTGATAGTGAGGCGGTACATAAGTATGAGTCTGTCAGAAATCACCAGGGGGTCAGAAAACTCAGTAAACTAAACTTCTCAAGCAGGCTGGCTGACTGGAGTGGATGTTTGGTGGGCAGGGAGGGAGGCAGACAGAGACAAAGAGAGACGAAGACAAAACTAGAAATATTGCCTTGCTTCTGCCTGCCGGTCAAGTTGTGTTCCTGAATGGGACAGATGTGAGGCCACAGTGACCTTGGCCACCAGAATCTAATCAGTTCATCCTTGAGTCCAAATGGACATTTGTAGCAAATCTGAAAAAATTCCATCGAGATGTTCCTGAGATATCACATTCAAAAGAATGGGACAGATGGACACCCTGAAAACATAATGCCTCTGGCTACAGCTGCTGCTAGTACGGAGACATAAAAACAGTACTAAAAAGAACTGACAGCTGAAATGAGGTCTGAGGAGCGAGGGCGGGGAACAAAAACATACCTGCTCACCTTCTCACAAGTCAAACCCTAAGCAGACTGCCTAGTTCTTCTTGTGTCTAAATCACTCAAGGGAGGAATATGTGTTTGAAAGAGAGCACCATCGCTGCTCAAGAGGAACATGTGTGTGATGAAACAACTCTGCAGGAAGGTTTTTGCTGTGCAAAGGTGCTGAACTGAATTTCCACTGGAGAACAACCACGGTGAGACATATTTTCCATTGCCATCAACAACGGATAGACACTGCCAATGCTGTAAATAGTTTACAGAACTCATAGAAACAAACAGGCAGACCGAGCACAAGCACACATGTGTCGAAAATCAAATACACACATATGCATGGATGGATGGACAGTGGACTCACAAGTTTACACAACTGTGTGTGCTTGGTGTGTGCACTGTAAACACGCACACAAGGAATTCAGTTTTCCACAGCTTTCTCAGCATTACTTCTTCATTGCAAATGTCTGGTGGTTCATTCAAAACCAGATCAGTAAACACTTTGTTCTTCCTATATGGATCGGTTTACTTTTACAGGAGTAAACTCATGTATGGCCATGCTTTAGCAAATGATGCAAAACGTGCATATACATTTTTTTAACGCATCATTTGATTCTGTCATTCAAAGATTATGTAACTAAAGACAATCTCATGTTACATAAACATCTAATCAAATATGGTTTCAATTCAACAATTATTTTTTTCTGTGTGACCAAAGACAAAACAGAAACTATGCTTACATCATGCTACGAAAAAGAGTATATGATTTGTAATGAAGAGTCCCGACACTCTTTGGCTTTAAGTCAAAAATCTAAGAAACGTGTGGCACAACTTCACTCGCTGCCAAGACGAAAAGAAACAAACCGAAAAGGGCAAAAATACATGAACATGCTGGGTATTGAACAACTTTATTGCAAGACCACTGCATTTCAGCTTGAGGCCTTTGTCGGGGTCTGTAGGATATTCAATCGTCAAACATCCACAGCTTCCCTGCTCCATTAATTCCTGCTCTTTAAAGGTTTTAGCATGAACAGAATATCAGAAACAGGACTGCTGTGATGTGTGGCAATAACTGTAATCAAAGGCAGATCTAGTAGCCCTAAATCTGAACATTTGAATGGTTCAAAGAAGCTAATTTGGTCTGCTGTGTCAGTTTCTATGGATCACATTTTTACACATTTCACCATCTGATTACTGACCACCAAAATCCACCACCACTAATCTCCACCTCCCCTGCACTTCCTCCATTGTCCTGGTTTTTCTGTTTCCTGATCTATACTCCACCTTTAACAGGCCATCTGGGAATTCAAAAACCAACATTCCCATCACAACCAGGTCTAATAAAATGGTCTCTATTAATCCTGCTTTACTTAAAGAGAGTCAAAGTTATGTAATAGTAAATCTATGTGAAACTTAAAACAGCTTAGTGAAGCATTAATGTTTTACCTATTTACCATACAAACTCAGCTTTACCATGTAGTGTTGAATTTATTTCATAGCAAATAATTCAAGGCAAACAACTTTCCCACTCGTGGAGACTAGAATGGAATACAACCTTACAAGCCTTAGTCTAACATTAGCATTTTAGAGCTTTCCCACTTGGTAACTTCTAGCACTACAACTTCCAGACCCTTTAAATATTTACTGGATGCCGCAAGTTTATCAACTCATCAGGTGATTTATGAGCTGACGTCAATGAAAGCAGAGCGGATCACATTAAACTCAGGCTTGCATTTTGGACAAAACCGACTTAACTAGAGCAGCAGCCTGTGATCTTGCACCATTGGAGCCATGACCAGAACAGGCCAGGATCGAAGCGGGGGAATGTATTTATGAGAAATAGTCCGCCCTCACATTACTGTAAGCAGCGTTGGCTGGCCGCATATGAAGCTCATTAATAGCGACAATGGCGAGACTGGGACTTCCAGGAATAGATGGACCAGTCTGTAAATCTTTGTCAACACATTTAACACACAAAGGCAATCAGGCTCACAGAAACACAGTAGGTGCACATACACATGAACACACACACACACACACACACACACACACACACACACACACAAGCACTCTGCTGCTCCACTCTTCATCTCATTCTTTTCTCTCAAAACAAAGCCACAAGCTCTTTTGCTCACACACATGCACTGCACAATTCAGTGCCATCACATGCAAGCAATCAACATGACTTAGATGAGCAAAACATGGGCCAGATGTAGAGCAGGGAAAATTCCTAAACGCTTATGTCCAACACACAGTTGACCACTAAAAACAGCTGATTTACGATATTCAAGTTCTGCACCCTTCAATACAAGTAACGTGAGTCACACGTCTCAGTTGTCATCACACTAGTAAATCTAAATCAGCAGATGTCTCATATCCTGTTTTTCAAATGGAAAAGCATCTGACACGGTCACACGTTTAGTATGAAAGCAATGGTTTGTTTCCATTGCAACCACACCAAATTCTAATGCACACTGAAATCTGCTTTCCTGAAAAGCTGAAGTTTCTTAATAGAGATGATGTTTCAACAGTGTTTCTTTGAATGCTTTTGACTTACATATGTGCCAGCAGATGGCTCTCCGGGAGGTAGGGACCCCGGACTCAGAACAGGTGAGCTTGCAGGACTGCAGAGCTCGGGGAAGGGGTTGGGGATGGCTGGGAGAGATGATGTTCTCAGCTGCTGCTCCTCTTCCTGCAACCTCCTGGACAACGGAAACAGGGCAAAGAAATATCATTGAACATGCACTGCTGTATAAGCTTGTGTTTGCTAATGATTTGAGTAAAAATAATAACTGAAGCCTAAGGTCATGACCCAAAACAGCCTCTTAAGAAGTAAAGTAGAAGAACTTTGGAATGACACACACTGAAATGTAAAATATATGCAGGAGAGAGAGAGTAAGGATGAATAAAGTATAGCTGTACAGCATCCAGGCTCATGTCAGTTTCTGTCTGATCTGCCCATAATGAGCGGCCTCCCAGCAAGTGGAAATCACAGGCCCCTGCAGCCTGTTGGCTAATTTTCTGCAATATTTATCACACATCAATACTGAATCAAGACCTCACTTTAAAGCAGTGTTTAAACTGGGACCATATAGTGTAGGCCTATGGCCTGAAAGAGCAATGATGATTTGACAGCTGATGATAAACTTTTCAGCAGTCAAACTTTCTCTTTTTAAGTGGGCAGGTCAATTTGTGAGATTCTAACTCAATAGCTAGCTCAGAGAATCAGTGTAAAAGGCTCTCTTGGTCTCGTTCTGTCATTCTCTATCAAATTCTGTCTCTCTGTAGAACCCAGTGAGTTCAAAAGGGAACGGGCCTTTTGATGTCGTTTCATCTGATCTTGAGAACAGGGTTATCCGGCGGTCAGCCCTGAATAATAATAACTTCAGGGCTTGTGCCTGTATGTGGGAGCCTGTATGTGTTTGAGAGAGAGAGACACAGAGAACTCATAAGACAGAATATTCCATTAGTGGACCATCCCTCTTCTGTTTCTGTGAAAGGCGAACAATAGGAGCAGACACCAGCTCTACTCTGAATGCGGGTTTGTGTGCAGTCTGTGTACACAGGCATACTTCTGTAGGCTCAGCCTGTGTATATGTGAGTGTCCACTCAGTGTATACTCTTACATCTTTGGGAGGAATATGCTTTACTACTCTTAAACTGAGAGATACATTTGCATTTGCTACTAAAATAAATGGCATTTTATACCTTTCTTCTCCTTCAGGTGCAGTTGGAAACAAACAGGGAGTGACATGGAGGAATGGGTCATTCAAGGGCTACAAATGGAGAGTGGGGAGGGAAGGTTATGCCCGCTTTTTGAGAGAGTGTGGAGGGACAACAATGTGCAGTGAAAGGCTTCTTTTCCCAGAGTGGAGTGAAAAAGGGATCTGAGATCTGTTTGTGGAGCTATGCATGTGCAAATGTATGAGGCTGGAGGGAGATGGTTTACAGTATAGCTCTGTGCCACACTTTGGCTGGCTGCACGTTCCTGAGCATGTGTTTGTGTGTGCGAGTGTTTCACATGTATACTTGCACAAGTAGACTTATTTAGATACTGTATGTACTGTATGAACGCCTTCATTTTTTTTTATTTAGATCCTAAGTTCTACCCAAGATATATTATATGGACAAATACTGATTATTTTCTCACTTAAACAATTATTTCTTTATTTATAAAACAGTGACATTTTCAAATGTATTTCATTAGCTATCACATAGGACACATAAAAGCAGCAAACATTAACAACTCAGAAGCTGGAAAAAGTTACTGTTTGGCTTGACAAGAGCATTTTTGTTTACCAGAACAGTCAATCAGCTAAATGATTCATCTTGATTAAAGGTCTAATAAATTCAGCTCCACATTTGACAAACTGAAACTCACCTGTTTGAAGTTGTGCTTTGGTGTCACTTTTTAGCCACTATTTTTTCTGCTGTTCAAGAGCTTATTTATTTTTTGCCAATAAATACAAATATAACTAGTCACCACATTTTATATTACATCAAAAGCAGCACAACCTCAGTGATGAAGCAACATCCTTCAAGGTGCAAAGGAATACACTTTGTGCTCAAAACCAGATTTAGGGACTGATGGACACCTCTGGGCCTAAACTTTGAAGCTCTCTATATCACTCTGAAGCATTATAGCCTGCAGGATGTTCATGTGCCTCTCCTTTCCAAATATAAGCTGCTGAAGTAGACAAAAGAATTATTTATATCATTCATGATATATGTAAACACCTACCTGACAGCGAGGATGTGCACGGGTTGTGACCGTCGGAAGCTAGTTTGGGGCGAGTCCACCGACGAGGAGGAGGAGAGCGGCTCTGCGGAGATGTGGCTTAAAGCGTGTGAGTGCTGACCATGCCGTGGCTGGTTGTGCTGTGCGTGATGATGGTGGTGGTGGTGATGGTGTGAGGTCTGTCCGCTGTGAATTAGTGGAGTGGACTCCGTCTGCTGACCACTGCAGGTGGAGTACAGGCTCTCTAACGAAGAGTTCATATCATTCACCAGGGCCTCCAGATCAACGTCATCCTCTGGGAGAGGAAAGGAACACATCACTGAGTCAGTGTTAAGAACATAAGCAAAGAAAAAAATCAATGAAAAAGTCATTTTTCAAAACTTTTGAGGACAAGTGTAAAGACCTGAATCAATGTGCAGCAAAGCTTACTAAAGCTGGACAGAAACTCAAATCTGCCTGCTGTTTTGGTTTCAAATAGTTTAGACACAAAAAAGTCCCTATTGTTGGGACTTTCCCGATTCTATTTCAGTTTCCCTGTCATTTCACTGTGGCTAGGATGTGAACCCTTGACTTTTTGCACCACCTTATTTCCAAGTAATACTGAAAAAAAAAGCATCTACACCAGCTTTGCCAGAGTGCTCAATCAGCAAGATTATCTTGACAACATACACTGCACTGCCCTGTGAGCCAAATTTCCACAGATTACAGGTACAAGCACAAGCCTGCCTGTAACACTTTTCAACTCATCACTGGGGTTCATTGAAAAGGCATCACACTGGAAGCTTCTGCTCTAAATTCACTGCATACATCAAACATTCTGCTTTTAAAAGGTCATTAAAAGCAGGACGTGGGGTTCGTTCTCAGAGGAATCTATTCTCAAAGCCTCTGTGAAAACCTCAAGGCACACTTAAATTCATGAAGTGAATTTTTTCAGCTGACTGCAGGAGCATGCCGTAGTTTCGAATACAATCAACTGAAGGAACTGAAGGGATGAAGTTTGATCATCTGGACAAACTGGTGCCTAACTCAGCTCTTTATAATTATAATCTGCAGTGGTAACTTAGCTCATGATTAAGAATTCTTCATTAAGAAAAGGAGATCTATCTCATAAATTCATAATCAAGTCTCTGTATCCAGAGCCTTCAACTGTACTGTAGAACACAAGTCCACCACTAGGGGGAGACAGGCTCTAACTGTACATGGAGCTCATGTGAAGCAACCCCAAACAGATACAGGGCTGTGACCTCACATCTAAAATAAACATTACTAGGAACCTCAATAAGAAAAGACTTTTGGCATTAGATATGGCTTAGGTTTAGATTCACATTGTTATTTACACAGTATAGAGAACCATCTTGTCAGAAAGAATATAAATCTTTTGTGTAATTTAAAAGTAATTTCTAATTTTATTTTGATGATTTTGATCCTCTCACTGTGGCGCATTGTTGAAAATTAACATGATTCAGTACTGTTGTGATACCAAATATGCCCTGCTTTGTTTCTGATAAAAACATGCTTTTGGAATAACATAGAAAAGGAGACTTATTCTTAATAACTGAATGAAAATCTGAAAAAAAGCTTTACTATATTCAGGCTCTGGAAATATTCCAGTCAATTTTTCAAACTAATGGTTTAAAGACAGCAGTGTGTGAATGAACGATTGAAAACATATTAAGCAACATATTTTATCTTTTATTGTGCTGCAGTTAGAACTTCAAGGTGTAAGACTTATGAAACATGTATGAAATTTCCCCACAGCTCAGGGTGCAGGACAGCTGACAGCTGGAACATGTGAGGTGGTGGGAGGATCATGCCACTCTAAAACAGCTAAACGTCCCCCTGCTCAGCTGAAGGCTAATCAGTGGAAAAAACTATTTGACAAATGTAAAGTTTTAACAAAGTTGGCTTCGAAGTGAGCTCCTCAGAATGGCGAGGAGTCAGTTTCAAGTGGAAATACACCAGATTCTTCTCTCTCTCTCTCTCTCTCTCTCTCTCTCTCTCTTTTAATATTTCAGAGGGAGAACCAAAAACAATAACAGCAGCAGCCATGAGTTAGTAGGCTAGTAAACATCCCCATCGCTGGATACACAGCAGCATGGCTCTGTCCCCAGCGCTGATGGCTACAACTGCCTACCAACTAAAACTTAAGTGTCATCTTTGCAGAGCTTTTCCTGAAAATGTGTCAGGTACCTACAACACAAGTGCCTGTGAATCACAGGTGGTTAATCTGTAGGTATTAATAGGGACAGGTAAGCTGTAGCAACTACAGCTAAAGAGTTATATACGAAAGGACACAGAGTGGATACAAGGACAAAACAAGACAGCGGTAAGACAAGACAGTGCAACATTAGCTCCAAGGATCAGCAGGGATAAAAATTATTTAGCAGTACAAGACTTTTTTTACAGTAGTTTTTGAAAAACATAATGAAAGAAATGCTTAATGCTTGATGGGGGGGGTAAACCAGAAACTAAATCAAACATGAGTAAAAACACATGGCCTGTTCATCATCCATCATCTTCACTAGGTGAGACACGTACCCTTGAGCTAGAGAGAGAAAATAAACGTGACCTAGTTTGGCCTCTGGCTTGGGGGTTGGCAGAGCAGCGTGCATACACACAAGCAAAAACCCACACACGAATGTACAACTTGCGTCACTATCAGTCATATGATCACCGACACCTATGCATTTCACAATCAGGCAAACAAAGGTACGTGTCATGCACCTGGGTTTAAGGCACACAGACCGATGGCACTGACAGTATTGTAGACAGGCATGCATGCACAGGATTTAAAACCGTGAAGATTTGGATGAGGGAGTAAACTATGGTTGTTGTTTTTTTTTCCACATGAAAATAGAGGTTGCACCAGGTACATGGTCTTGGAAGGCACAAGAGAAAACAGAGATACGTTTATTTATGACACAGCGGTCATGACACACCTGATCTTACAATATTACAGCCATTAAACTAGATCCTCTTGAAATATCCCAGCTGCTCAGAGAGCACACAAAGCTACAGCTGTAGACAGAGCTGTTGACAGTGAAAAAGTGCAGCTGTATTACTGCTGCTTAACAGCACCAAAGACTATAGGGACTAGGGAGGTTACCTACAAATTTTTTTCAGCTTTATGTAGCACATAGCATAAATCTGGAACTGAGGTATGAAATAATCACTTATATATTATGAAAAAGTAACAGCGGTAACTGAACCGTTAGATCACCACCATGTGCCAAGCAGTGGTTTCCAACAAAACTAAGACAGTGACAGAGAGCAAGAAGTTAAATCAGCCTAAAAGGAGGACCTCTGCTGAAAATTGATACCTGTTATTTGAGAAGGCAGCAGCAGGCCACCTAAATGGGAATAAAAAGGGCTATTGGTACCTTTAGAGCTTTATTATGGAAAAAAGCAATAGAGCTTAAATGCACCTCTAATACTGTGTAATAAATGGATATAAGCACAGAAAACAAATCCTTCCTCTAAATCATTTATTACAAGATGTGTGATTATCCTATCATCTGAAACACTGCAGATCCATGTGGAGGTGATTTAATGTCAGGGCTACAACAACTATTTCCTCCAGTGATCCATTTTAGATCGATACATTCATCGTTTAGTCTATATAACAACTGTGCACCATGATTTTCAACTACACCGGCTGTTCAACTTATTTTAATATTAACTTTCATCATTTATCAGCCAAATGAATGCTTTGCTCTCTCCTTTTCTAAGGACCTATAACTGGCTATATTAGGGGCAAAAATGGCCCAAGCTTCCTATATTGTCTAAGCTATTCTGGATACAGCATTAACCAACTGTAAAACTAGTCCTGTCTGACAGGAATCTGCATAAAAGCTGTTTTGAATATGTCTGATCATTAGCGAGTGAGACATGGTCCAAACAAGGCTACTGTACTGATGGCAGATACTTAAGGTTCTGCGTAATGCAGGAATCAAGCATTTTATTGATTAAACAAAAGGGAGGAGCAACCCTCTTTTAGAGGAATGTGAGGGGTATACATATACAGTACATCAACTGAACACACACACACACACACACACACACACAGGGGGCACACAAGAGAGATAAACAGCCCCTGAATACAAGTCCAGCAGAGCGCTTTCCATTGAAAGGGATCAGTGGGAGCATAGACAGAGCTGGTCTAAACTGTAAAGTGTGGCTCTGTGCTGGGAAGTACAATACATGTGATGGCAGCACACACATCCACTGAGGGCCAAGCTGATGGGGAAGGAGAGTGTGGGAGGGAGAGAGGGAAACAGGAGGAGTGAGGGAGGGAAAAGAGAGACAAACAGAAGGGAAAGGAAAGACGAGGGTAAACAGAGGGTCAGAAACACAGACTCACGTAGGAAAAGGGTGAAAGGGAAAGTGAGGGCTACCATGTGAAAGGGATGGTTTAGTTCACACAGCTTTGTGAGAACCAAAATGGTTGAATTTAATATTAAAAAAATACCCACGCTAGCAGTGTGGCTCTAAAGAGAGCAATGTTGGTCTGTCAGCTGGTTGGTCCACCACTGCAGTACCACTGGGACGGATTGTGTGTTACCCTCAGGATGAATGGTAACAACTTTGGTGATCAACTGACTTCTCATCTGGTGCCATCATCAGGTCAACACACGTTTCCTGTTACAAATCAGCTCATTTCTTTCACATCACCTCATAAACTGCACACATTACACTCTTT